ACCGGGTTCGATTCCCCACTCCTCCTCCACATGGCGCCTGCTAGGTGACCTTGGGCCCATCACAGTTCTCTCAGAGCTCTCTCAGCCCCCACCTGCCTCACAAGGTGTCTGTTCTGGGGAGAGGAAGGGCAGGAGATGGTCAGCCACTCTGAGACTCTCCAAAGTAGAGAAAAGCGGGGAATGCAAAGCAACTCCTTCGTCAGGTGACCAAGATCCGTTCCCCTGGGGAAAATGGCTGCTTCGGAGGGTGGTCTCTATGGCGTTATAGCCCACTCAGGTCCCTCCCCTCCCCAAAAGCTGCCCCCCCAGGCTCTGCTGCCAACCCTATTGGTCCAGGTGCACCTTTAATGGCAGTGTGGCAAGACAGGCTGCCATCCTGCCAGAGTTCAGGGCGCCCGAGCGGGCACATGCAGCTGGTCATGCTGTGCATTAAGAGGCCTGGGGAAAGAACATTATGTACTGTGGGGGGGGGGGAAGCAGTGAGTGATCAGGCTGGGAGCCCCCCCGGCGGCATCGGAGCAAGCAATTAAAACACCGGCAGCAAAGAACGAAGAGCAACCAATTAAACTACTCATCTGACCGTTCTCAGGCATACTCATTAGGGCAGTCCCACCGAGGAAGCAAGGACAGCTCGTTTCTGTTCTCAAGCCGTCAGCTCTGCCAAGGGGGAGGGCCGCCCAAAGGGTTGCCAACTCCAGGCTGGGAAATTCCTGGGAATTTGGGGGAGGGGTGGACACTTGGGAGGGCAGAGGAGGGACCCTCAGCACGGTATAATGCCACAGAGTCCACCCTTCAAAGCTGCCATCTCTCCCGAGGGAACTGGTCCCTGTAGTCTAGAGACCACTTGTGATTCCAGGACATCTCCAGGTCCCGCCAGGTGGTTGGCAACCCTGGCTGCTCAGAAGCCAAAGCCAGACTCTTCCAGTTTGGTGTCGTGGTTAAGTGCGCGGACTCTAATCTGGGAGAACCGGGTTTGATTCCCCCACTCCTCCACTTGCACCTGCTGGATGACCTTGGGCAAGCCGTAGTTCTGATAAGAGCTGTTCTCTCAAGGACAGTTCTTTCAGTGCCCTCTCAGCCCCACCTCCCTCCCAGGGTGTCTGTTGTGGGGAGGGGAAGGGAAAGGAGTTTGTCAGCCGCTCTGAGACTCCTCTGGGTAGTGAAGGCCGAGGGTATAAATCCAATTTCTTCTTCCCTCTTTGGGTAGGGAAGGAGAAGGTCAGCAATGGCTCAGCCGCCCCCTGGCAAAATGCCCCCGAGACCAGCCCCCCATGGCCTGCTCTGCCAGACTATGCCACTTTATATAGGGCAGACTGTGCCATGTTGAGCTGGGGGCGAGGGCTGGCATCTTGTTTAATCCCCCCCCCCCCCCG